AGCATTCAGCAGTGAAGCCATCCAGTCCTGAGCTTTTCTTTGTTGGAATGGTCTTGACTACTGATTCAATTTCTGTCTTGGTCATTGGTCTGTTTAGGTTTTCTATGTCTTCATAGAAGACATTCTATGTCTTCATGGCTCAATTCAGGTAGGTTGTATGTGTCCAGGAATCTATCCATTTTCTTCTAGTTTTCCCAATTTATTGGCATACAGCTCTCTCTAGCAATTTCTGATGATTCTTTTTATTTCTGTTCTATCTGTCGTTATAGTTCCTTTTTCATCTCTAATTTTCTTGATTTGGGTCTTCTCCCTCTTTTTTTGGTAAGTTGATCAGTGGTGTGTCAATTTTATTTATTTTTTCTAAAAAAACATATTTTCATTTTGCTGATCTTTTGTATTTTTTGTTTCAATTTTGTTTGTTTCTTCTGTAATTTTAATTATTTCTTTCTCCTACTAGTTTTAAGTTTGGTTTGTTGTTATTTCTAGGCCCTTGAGATCCATTGATAGCTCATTTATTTGGTGCCTTTCCAATTTCTTGATGCAGGCACCAATTACTATAAACTTTCCTCTTAACACTGTTTTTGCTGTATCCCATAAATTTTGATATGTTGTATTTTTGTATTCATTCATTTCCAGAAATTTTCTGATTTCTATTTTTATTTATTCAATGACCCATTGTTCATTCAAGAGCATGTTGTTCAGTCTCCATGTGTTTGCCCATGATCTAGATATTCTTGAGTTGTTGATTTCCAGCTTCATTCCTTTGTCAGAGAAGATTTATGATATGATTTTGATTTTTTGGAATTTGCTGAGACTTGCTTTATGGCCTAGTATGTGGTAAGAAGAATATGTATTCTACATCTGTAGGATGAAATGTTCTATAGATAACGGTTAGGTCCATTTGGTCTAAAGTGTTGATTAACTCCGTTGTTTCCTTGCTAATTTTCTGTCTGGTGGATGTATCCACTGCTGAAAGTGCAGTAATGATGTCCCCCATTACTATTGTATTGAATCTCCCTTTAGATCATTAATATTTATTTTAAATAGCCAGGTGACCTATAATTAGATCTTCCTGTTAAATTATATAGTTATATAGTATCTTCCTTTGCCTCTTGTTTTTATGTGAAAGTCTATTTTGTCTGATATTAGGATGGCTACCCCTGCTCTTTTTTGATTTCTGTTAGCATGGAATATCTTTTTCTATCCTTTCACTTTCAGTCTGCAAGTATCTTTGTAGGTGAGATGTGTTTCTTGTAGGCAGCAAATAGATGGGTTTTGTTTTTTAATCCATTCAGGCAGTCTGTATCTTTTAACTAGAGAGTTGAGGCCATTTATATTCAAGGTAAGTATTGATAAGTTGGCCCTGCCATTTTTCCATAAATATTCCTATTGTTTACTTTGGATTTCATTGTACTTTTAATGGGAGATTTTCTGCCTTCACCTTTTTTTCATAGTGATGATCATGTTTCTGTGTGCAGCACATCCATCTTTTGTAAGGATGGATGAGTGTTGACAAATTCTTTCAGTTTTTGTCTGTTATGCAAGGTGTTTATTTCACCTTGATTCACAAATGAGAGCTTTGCAGAGTACAATATTCTGGGTTGACAGTGTTTTTTCTCTTAAGACTTGGAATATTTCTCACCATTCTCTCCTAGCCTGTAGGGTTTCTGATGGAAAGTCAGCTGTGAGTCTTATTGGAGATCCTCTGAAAGTAATATGGTATTTCTCTTGTGCACATTGTAGAACATTTTCTTTACATTTTACTGTGGAGAATTTGACTACAATGTGTCATGATGAAGATCGTTTCTGGTCATTTCTATTAGGAGTTCTATTTGCTTCCTGTACTTGGAGATCCCTTTCTCTCTCCAAATTAGGGAAGTTTTCTGTAATTATTTCACTAAAAAGGCCTTCTAGTCCATTCTCTCTTTCCATGCCTTCAAGAATTCCTAAGACCCATACGTTGGGTTGCTTGATAGTATTCCATAAATATGACACTGTTTATTAGTTTTCTAATTTCTTTTTTTCTTGGTCTGACTATAAAATTTCCAGAGATTTGTCTTCTAACTCAGATATTCTTTCTTCTGCCTCACTGAGTCTGTTCTTAAGGCTTTCCACATATTCTTTATTTGTTCTGTTTAATTCTTCATTTCCAATATTTCAGTTCGATTTCTCCTTAAAATCTCAATTTCTTGGGAAAAAATTTCATTCATGTCATGTATGAATTTCTTTAATTCAAGAATTTGCTTCTGATTACTCCTAAGTAATCCTACAATCAATTTTTTGAATTCTGTTTCTGGCATTTCATCAATTTTTTCATCTTCACATTTTAGTATTGAAGTGTTCTTTTGGGGCCATCATGTTATCTTCCTTATTCTTGTTTCTTGAATTGCTGTGTTTATTATTAGGAATTTGTGGTGATACTTGCTGGTTTTTGTTTTTTATTTTTCCTCTGTGATGGCTTTTATCTTTGGACTACACATCTGTGGCTTAATAGAGTGTCCTGTCTTTCAGTGAATACTCAGAGGTGTGTACTGGATGTGGTCACGGAGCTCTGTTCACTGCTCCAGGGTGAAGGGAGTTTTTCTAAAGTGATCACCCAACTTGGGTGCAGTAAATCTCTTTCTTTTTTTCCCCAGAGGATAGGCTTGTTCTGCTCTGTTCACATATTCTCACACTCACCTACTTTCCTCAAAGGAGACCAATGCCTGGGTGCTAGCCCCAGTGGGTACAATTTCATCTGCACTGTCACAAGAAACACACAAAAGATCTATGCAGGCTGGTGCCGCGGTTCAAAAGGCTAATCCTCCACCTAGCAGCACCGGCACACCAGGTTCTAGTCCTGGTCGGGGCGCCGGATTCTGTCCCGGTTGCTCCTCTTCCAGGCCAGCTCTCTGCTATGGCCCAGGAGTGCAGTGGAGGATGGCCCAAGTGCTTGGGCCCTGCACCCCATGGGAGATCAGGAGAAGCACCTGGCTCCTGCCATCAGATCAGCACGGAGCGCCGACTACAGCATGCCGGCCGCAGCGGCCATGGGAGGGTGAACCAATGGCAAAGGAAGACCTTTCTCTCTGTCTCTCTCTCTCACTGTCCACTCTGCCTGTCAAAAACAAAAACAAAACAAAACAAAACAAAACAAAGATCTATGCAGTCCTTGGTGTGAACATGAATTCTACAGCAATGTCCCTCACCAGGGAATCAGGGAGCCACGAGCAGGTGGAGAGATCAACAGTGACTGCTCAAAGTCCCAGCCACATCCTGTGCCCTCCCATGCAGGCACAGTGTTTTCACAGTACCATCACACAAGGCTCCCACAGTCTTGAGCCCCCAGATCCCTGTCAATTCTTCCAGCCAGACTCAGGCATCTCCTGTCAGCTGGCTGCTGGGCACATGGACACGAGCTGGTGTAGCTGTTACATTTGTACAATATGGCACCTGACATTTCTTGGCTAGAGGATGCTGGTGCTGGGTGGTCAGGGAAAAATAAATAGGCTCCTTTTTTTCCCCTCTAGGTTGGCAGGTACACTGACCCCACAGGACTCCAAGCTGGGCCCATGCCAGGTTCTTCCCACAGCTTTATTTCCAGTGGCTTGGGCTGCTGCAGTCTGGTCTCACCTTGCTCCAAAGCTGGTGCTTAGGCTCTTGGCTGTTGGGGTCCTGGGCTGGATGTAACCACACCCTCACATGGGTCCACAGTGTCTCCCCAATTTGCATGGAGTTTCCTGTTCTGTTTTCTCCCTAACCCTTTCCTGACTGCACTCTATTCACTTTTTTTTGTAACTATCCTCCCCTAGACTAGAGCAGTAAGCTCCCTCCCTGTGCCACCATCTTGAAAAACCAAGATTCATTTTTACAGAAACCCTGTCAATTTGTTATTCAACTATCATTCCCAAGTGTACAAAACAGAAACAACAGATGTAAAAAATAAAATAGTTAAAAATACATAAATATCCAGATTTCATCTTTTTTTGAGTTAAGTATGTTTGTAGTCTCCTGGCTTTGATCTCAGAGAAGACACAAAAATATAATGAAGTTGTGCAAGACTTTTGAAATACAGTTCAAGGTTAATCACTGCTTTGATGGCAGCCATGTAGAAGATTAGTGTTTCCTGATCCAATAAAGATAAAGCATCACACTATTATTGTGAAGTATCATAAAAAGTGCATGTGTCAAGAAGGCATTTCTTTGCCTACTCTAATTTAAGTCATAAGAGAAAGTTATAAAATAAGCATATATGTATTTAAAAAGTAATGGTTTAAGTTTGGCTTATAATATATATCACTATGATCCTAAAAGTTTTGATAGCACAGTGGAATTCTCTAGAGCTATCAATTCATTGTTCCAGAATTCAGCTTTCCAACAGATTTTCACTGTTCCAGAATTCAGCTTTCCAACAGACTTTCTGTCGCTCCCCCTCTTTGCGGAGGAACGACACTAAACCCTGCGCTGTTCTTTTGTCTGCTCGGCCCTCCCCGGGTTTGCTGCTGGTCCTTCCTGGGTTGGCTACCATCCCTTCCACCTCCGTGGAAGGGCGGTTCCCCCTGCCACTTTCCCCACTTCCGCGGGGGAGCGGCACACCGCCAGCCGGCTCTCTCGGGGGCTGCACAGGTGTTCCTCTTAGATATTCCTGGTGCATGTTGTCTCTCTCCTCCTTTATAGTCCTCTTCCACCAATCCCAACTCTGCTACCCACACGCCGAGTACACTGCTCTCCTCCAATCAGGAGCAGGATCAGCTCCTGCAGGTCATCACTCAAGTTGGCAAGAGGCAGCTGCGTAGAAGTTGTTACTCCCTTCTCAGCGCCATATTGTGGGAGAGCAGATGCATAGAATAAGTCTTAATTCCAGTAACAGTCTAGTCCGAGTTGCTCCCCACACTTTCCTTTTTATATAATAGTTATTTCTGTAACATAACTATTTATCATCATAGATCTACACTTCTGTAACACTACTCTTTTAGTTCCTGTAAGACCTTGTCATGGTCTTTAAAATAAAAAAAACTTACAGTCAAGGAGTCTTCTCCATCATCATGTCCTATATGTTGATGAGCTCGTCCTCTACCATCAGAGATACTGAGCAAGTCTCTGCCAAAAGGTTCAGAAAAGCTTCTCATCATCTGACGCATACTTTCTCGGTGTGCAAGGAAAGAGTCGCTGTTGAAAAATACATATTATCATGTAAGATTAAGTGTTAAAATTTAAAAAGTAGGCAGCTAAATCTGTTAGAGAAAAGTGTTTCAGAGATTAGAATAATTTCATTAAGAAAGATCTACTACTTGTAAAAACAATTTAGGAAAACTTGCTCTCTTTGTTATTCACCACAGTTCACTTATGTATAAAAACAAAATCAATCTTTACTTATCCTTACTGTTACAAACATGGTAAACACAAGGTCATGATAGCTTAAACACATGTCAGATAGGTTAAAGTAAGGAAAATGGCAAAAAAATTAAGTAATCTGACAAATACTGCTACTAGATAGATGCCATTCTGGGCAGTCAATAATATAAATTCTAGTGAGAGCTAATAAATAATATGTGCTTATTTTTTTTAAATCTTACTTCTGAAATGTAAATACTGAGAACTATAGCTACATTATGATAAAACATTGCTGTGTTTTGATTATAATTTGGTTCCCAAATTCATGCAGGAGTTTAAATCCCTAAGTTATAAATTAATGCTATCCCTAGGGTAGATATTTAATCCAGTTATGGTGTTTGGGGGGAGGGCTTTGGGAAGCAAAAGATTAGATTAGGTCACTAGTGCAGAGAGCCAATCTTGGCTCCTGGTGGCTTTGATGGAGGCAGAGACCACGGATTGACAGACAGACATGATTACTCCGTCTCTGGCTATGTGGTGCCTGGTGCCACCTTGAGACTCCCTGGCAAGACCATCATCACCAAAGGCTGAACGAGTGGGGTCACCTGATCTTCGAGTGAATCTCTAAACCATGAGCCAAAATAAACTTCTTTATAAGTCTTACTTGCTTCCAGTATTTCATTATAGGACAAAAAGCTGATTAACACAAACATATTTAATAGACAAAATTAAGGATAACCTCTATGAGGCTAACCTTTGCTTCTAAGAACTCTAAACACTAGAAATCACTAAACAGCAAAAATATCTGCTAAGTCTTAAGATAGTGTTTCTCAAACATTTTTGAGGTTACCAAGTAACTAGTAGGCTGGGTACTAATGGAGATCTTGTTCTCCATTCCCCCTTTAGGTATGATTTGTGGACATGCATCCCTTGTGATTTCAGTTCAAGGAGACCCTCACTAACCTTTGAGGAATATTACCTCTCCTGCATTTGTAGTAACTGAATTAATTAGAACCCAAGCCTCTCTTCTTGAACTTGTTTTCATAGTTGCAAAAATCAGGGTATCACATGTCCCTATTGTCAAGATTAAATCAGGTAACCTGAAAACATACAGTATATGATCCATACAATGTACTGAGTAAATGTTAATTGCTACTACTTTCTCTTCCTAACTCACTTGTGGATACCACATCCCATTATTCTATAATTAAGTCCCTCTCATGAAAAAAATATATTTTATTCAGAAAACATATACAACAACAAGCAGTTAGGCCCTATTCTTTGAGAGTACCTCAAAAAAGTTCGTGGAAAAATGGAATGACAAGCTCAGCTCACCTTTATGCAAAAAATTTTGATATACATGCAGTTTTATCATATCCACATTTTCCATGAACTTTCTGAAGAACCCTTGTATGAATGGATTCCTAAAATTGTTGTACCAAAAAACATCTTTTTATTAAAGATTTACTTATTTATTTGAAAGGCAAAGTTACAAAGAGAGAAAAGGAAAGACAGAGAGATACAGATCTTCCATCTACTGGTTCATCCCTCAAATGGCTGCAACAACCTGGACATCGTGGCTGGAGCCAAGAGCTCCCACATGGATGTAGGGGCCCAAGGACTTGGGCCATCTACCACTGCTTTCCCAGCTGTATCAGCAGGGAGCTGAATTGGAAGTGGAGCACCCAGGACTAGAACAAGTACCCATATAAGATGCCAGGGCCAAAGCCATGGCCCAACCTGTCATGCCACAGCACTGGACCCACCAGTAAACATCTTTAATTCCCCTTTCTACCACCTTTTTGAAGTATCCTCATACATGCTCTATAAATATCAATGCTCATAATTGGATGTTAACCCTTCACGGAGAATCTCATTCAAGAAACTGAAACTTTTAATGCTTTATATAACAATGATTCCCAATTTTGTTACAGTTGAAAAGCCATTGAATCACTAGTCAATTCCTTATTCCACATTCTAGAAGTGTAAGACACATTATTGGAGTTCCCTTTACCAATGTAATCTTAGACTTCCCTGCTGTTCTATTGAGCCCCCAATAGTCTGACCTCCTTTCAGACTTCCCCCTTAGTTGGACCCTGGTTAGGTCACCTTCTCCCCTTGAATACAATTTTAACCCTATGATATCACCATTACAAAGCTCAAAAATTGTCATCTGCCAGAAATCCCAGGAAGACAGTTTTTCTTTTGAATTATGTAGTACTTGTATATATACACCTACTTCAAGAGAGCTCAGATGTATTCATGTATTACCTTGTAGGTATATAGATAAAAAAAGAACGTATAATAGCTGTAAGTGCAACTGTTTTAAGATTACCAACTGTTCAACTGGATTTGTATTCATGTTTGTAGAGAAGCTTCTTGTTTTAATTCAGCTTTGCTTAGATAATGATTTACTGCTGCTGAAATTTATGCATTTTAACTGTACAGTTTGATGCTTTGAAAAATGTAGTGTCATACCCACCACTACAATGAAAACATTAGACATTTCCTTGGCTCCCAAATTTTTCCTGCCTTTTTGCAGACAATTGCTTTCCCTAATCCTAATTACCAATAAATAGGCTTTCTGTCACTACAGTTTTGTCCTTTCCAGAACTTCATATAATAGAATCATACAATACATAGCCTTTTATTTCTAGTCTCTTTCACTGAGCATTATTTTTCTAGTTCATCCATGTTGCTCCATTTATCAGTAGTTTACTCAGTTTTATTACTAAGCCAATTACATGCATATGGTTACATTACAACATAATCATAAACTTTCTAGTTTTGGCTATTACGAATAAAGCTGCTATGAAGATTCATGTGATAGTCGGCACATAGTTTCTTTTGAATAAACATGTAAATATGGTAGTAGGAGTCCAACTTCTGGGTTGTGTAATAAGAGTTTACAAACTCTACAAAAACTGTGAACTAAGAGCTCCAGCTACACTACAATCTTGCTAAAACTTGGTACCATGAGTCTAATTTTAGCCATTCCAGTGGTGGTATAATAATATCTCATTGTGGTTTTATTTTGTATCATTTGTCATTGATATATCTTCTTTGATAAAGTGTTCAAACATTTTCCCCCATTTTAAAACAAATCAAGTTGTTGTCCTGTTTTTATTGAGTTATAAGAGTCCCTTAAATATTCTGGACACAAGCCTTTTATTAGATATAGATCTTATAGTTTTCTCCCCCAGTGTGGGAACTGCCTCTTTATTTTCTTAACACCTACTTATTCAGCCACACAGCCGAAAATCTTTGTTAGGTCTTCAGTTTTCACCACAGACTATGGCCTTGCATAAGATAGACCTTTAAAAACTTTGTGGAGAAATAGAGTAAATAAGTTTATGTTTCTATAAAGAGATTTTGAAATCATGCAGTTTTTTCACAATGGAAATTTTCCATGAACTTCTTGAAGACCACTTTTATATATAATTTCAAACATTTCTGTACCAAAAATAACTCACACTAAATTCCATTTTCCATTAACTTTCAAAAAACCCTGTTTTATGACTTAATTTTTTATCTTTGCCTTTCTTTTCAAAGATAACCTTAATTCTAACATTTTACATCTTTATAAAGCGCTCTAGATTATTTTTAGAAGATGAAGAATAAATAGAAATTTTAAAATGAAAAGAACTAGGGGCCAGCATGGTTGCACAGTAGGTTAATCCTCCACCTGCAGTGCCAGCATCCTATATGGGCACCAGGTTCTAGTCCCAGTTGCTCCTCTTCCAGTCCAGCTCTCTGCTGTGGCCCAGGAGGGCAGTGGAGGATGGCCCACGTGTTTGGGCCCCTGCACCCGCATGGGAGACCAGGAGGAAGCACCTGGCTTCTGGCTTTGGATTGGCGCAGCACTGGCCGTAGCGGCTATTTGGGAAGTGAACCAGCGGATGAAGGACCCTTCTCTCTGTCTCTCTCTCTCTGTCTGTAACTCTACCTCTCAAATAAACAAAATATATTAAAAAAAAAAAGAAAAAGAAAAAAAGAAAAAAACTGGAAATTAGAAGTCAACAATTTCAGTGGAGTATAGTTAAAAAAAATTATATTCATTATTCAAATGTATATCCTGGATTTCCTGTCTACAACTAAAAGGTTTCTTTTTTTTTTTTAATTTTATATCATCTAATATGGGAGATTTGTTTGTGACTTGTTGCAAAATGTCTGATATCATTGAACTTAATTTCAGTTAGAAATAGTACAATCTTGATTTTTAAATCTTTGGTAAATTAATGAGCTAATTTTTTTAAAAGCTTTATTCCTCCTGTTTTCTTATCAAACTCTGAAAAGGCATTTCTTGGGGCAGATAGTTAGGCTGCCACTTGAGATACCTGTATCCTATGGTGGAGTGCCTGGGTTTCAGACCTGGCTTTGCTGTCTATTCCACCTTCCTGGTCAAGTGCACCCTGGCAGGCAGCAGGCGATGACTCAAATACTCAGATCCCTGCAACTCACATAAGAAACTCAAATTGAATTCCAGGTTTCCGACTTTGGCCTGGCCCAGACATACTGTTGTGGGCATTTGTGGAGTTGAACTAGTGGATGGTGGACCTCTGACTGTCTCTCTCTGCGTTTCAAATGAATTAAAAATTAATCGATTAAAAAGCTTATTTTTCTCTATAATTTTGTGCAGCATGTTAAGAAGAAATTCCTTGGATCATTTTCCTAGCTTACTAACTCACTTTTTGGTTGTAAGCATTTCCTTTTTTGTCTCTTTTAAAAAAAAGATTTATTTTATTTGAAAGGCAGAGTTACAGAGAAAGGGAGATATAGGGAGGTATCTTCCATCCACTGGTTAGCTCTCCAAATGGCAGAAATTCCATCCAGGT